ATGATATATCAGATAAAGGGGTAAATATCCAAAATCTATAAAGAACTTACCAAACTCAACAGCCAAAAAACAAATAATCCAGTGACAAAATGGGCAAAAGACATGAATAGACACTTTTCCAAAGAAGACTTCCAGATGACTAACAGACACATGAAAAAATGCTCAACATCACTCATTATCAGGGAGATACAAATCAAAACCACAATGAGATACCACCTCACACCAGTCAGAATGGCTAAAATTAACAACTCAGGCAACACATGTTGGTGAGGATGCAGAGAAAGAGGAACCCTTTTGTACTGTGGGTGGGAATGCAAACTGGTGCAGCCACTCTGGAAAACAGTATGGAGGTTCCTCAAGAAGTTACAAATAGAACGACCCTACAATCCAGCAGTTGCACTACTAGGTATTTATCCAAAGGATACAGGTATGCTGTTTTAAAGGGGCATGTGTACCCCAGTGTTTATAGCAGCTCTATCAGCAATAGCCAAAGTATGGAAAGAGCCCAAACGTTCCTCTACAGATGAATGGATAAAAAATATGTGGTATGTGGGGCACCTGAGTGACTCGGTTGAGCGTCCAACTTCAGCTCAGGTAATGATTTCATGGTTTGCGAGTTCGAGCCCCACGTCAGGCTCTGTGCTAACTGCTCGGAGCCTGGAGCCTGCCTCAGATTCTGTGTCTCCCTCGCTCTCTGCCCCTCCCCCACTTGTACTCTGTCTCTCTCTCTCTCAAAAATAAATTTAAAAAAAAAATTAAAAAAAAGATGTGGTATGTACATACAACGGAGTATTAACTCAGCCATCAAAAAGAATGAAATCTTGCCATTTGCAACAATGGATGAAACTGGAGGGTATTATGCTAAGCAAAATTAATCAATCAGAGAAAGACAAATATCATATGACTTCATTCATATGTGGAATTTAAGATACAAAACAGATGAATCTAAGGGAAGAGAATCAAAAATAGTATGAAAACAGGGAGGGGACAAAACCTAAGAGACTCTTAAATATGGAGAACAAACTGAGGGTTGCTGAAGGGGTTATGGGTGGGGAGATGTGCTAAATGGGCAAGGGGTATTAAGAAAGACACTTGGGATGAGCACTGGATGTTATATGTAGGGGATGAATCACTGGATTCTACTCCTGAAATCATTATTGCACTCTATGCTAACTAACTTGAATGTAAATTTAAAAATACATACATACATACATACATACATACATACATACATACATAAGATGGGGAGATTGCCAGCAGGGTTGACAGTGAAAGAAAGGTGGTGTTGGTGAAGGCAGAGAGAACAACAGGAGCAAAGATCTTGGCTGCTAGAAATGAGGAAATAGCGTGGTATCTCCTGGGAGCTATAGCAGTTCTGTAAGACTAAAATGGAAAGTGCGAGGCACGGAATGGTAGCAGACAAGACGAGAGAAATGAATGTATTTTTATTATTAGCTGTTTGTGCCTGATAGTAATGGAAATTTCCTCCCACTTATCTACCTCCATTTTAGGGATTGGACATGAGAAATCTCTGGAAATGCAAGTTCAGTATTGTGTGAAGTTATTTTTGTAGGGGCTCCTTTCTCTGCAGGTTCCTCATGAGCTCAGAGTATAGTTGACCTAGCCTTAATGATGGATTTCTGTATGTGGTGGCCATAGGGCAAGGGTCCTGCTGACTCTTTAAGCCTCTAGAAAAGGAGTTTTCACTGGCTGCCTCGGAGACCAGAACAGAACACACATTTTCCTTGTGAAGGATTTTATGGAGAATAAGCAATTTCTTCTCCATCCTAAAAACCGTGATGCAGTATAGAAGGAGGGGAAAATTCTCACATATGTTAAAAGAAATGGCAAAGAGAATTGGTCACCCATCTGGCAAAGTTTATACCA